CGATCCTTGGTCCCTTGCCTATGAAGCGTCACGCATACCTCGACTCCAAGCCGCCTTTGCTGGACTACCGGCGACCATGTCTTCTAGCTTTCTCCTGTTGAGCGCTCTCCGGAGACCACCTCCATAACTTTGTTCAGAGAATCGTTGGGCAGATTTTGAATGCAATTCGAAATCAGCATCAAAAAGTACGTCCAGCAGTATAGGTCTCATTTCAAATTTCCACTTTGACTTGGGATCTTTTCCTTGTTGGTGTAAACGATGTTGCTCTTTATTTCATCTCAGTGGGCTTCAAATGCGAATCTATTGTCATCTCCGTTGTTTTATGCTTAAAATTAGATGGCGAATCCCATATGAAATAGTCAACTCAGTTATCCAATTCCAATGTGCGCTCATGTGAATATTGCATACTAATATGCATGAACAAACAATGCCGCTCTTTCTGTACATACCTGATCGGTGCGGAATTGTGAAGACTGTCCTCAATGTCGTCTATTTAGGAACGAAGAGAAGGAAAAGTACTTATCAAGAGGAAAATCATAGAAGAACAAATAACACGAAAGATCGTTGAGGTAATTTCAGCGTGGTGATCGTGCCGTTACGGAAAGTGTCAGAAGTAGAATTTACAGAAGCAGACCTTCCTATTAATTACCCTTTTGAATGTATCCTTGGAATACTGGTTGGAAATAAGTGTTCAACTACATATTTGTTCTACATGCCGAGATAGCATCATATGTACAGAAGCTCTCTGCAACGTGTATAGTTGAAATTTGGTCGGCCCTAACCACCATTCCCTGATTTCTCTTAATATTACGAGTTGGACTTCGCACACTAATGTATGCGTCACAACAAAGAGTGCGCCAAACAGCGATAATTCACTGATCCGAGCTCCACTTCCAATAATCTGGCAATGAGCTGTGGTGGGCTACAAGTTTTGCGTGAGGTTCGGAAACGCTCCATTCACCGCGGATGAGTCAAATTTGCCCGATTTGTTCCCCAATTCCTGAACTATGTCATTTTCGGGTTGTGGGCTTTTTGGAGCAAAATTCTGAAGTTTCCCTCATTGCACCGCCCATTCCGGTAATTGTTCCACCTCTTGTGAGCGCGGCTCCGTTGAGCTCATATGTGCTCTGTTGATCTTGCCCGAAGTTCCAGCCATCCCAAAGTGATCCCGATTTCTTCACATAATCCGAGATTTGGGAGACAGAACCGAACTCTTTCAATATAGTAAATGGAGATAATGACATGATGTGATGATGATAATGACAGTGATGATGAATTGATATACAGAACGATTTTAAAATGTTAAGGATACCTCTGTGCAGAGTTGCGGAGTTTGATCTTAGCTTCGCCCTCTTCAGTGCAAGCCCCACCCACCTCAGGGATCTGACCACACTTCTTCTACAGCCTTGGAGCACTTTCTTGCCCGCCCACTTTAGTACAATTCTCGCTCACTTCATCTGGACACTTTTCCATGTTATAGATTTTTTAAATTAAGTTATATATAATATTTTCGATAAAACCTAACATCTCAATGCGTGAATATATCGTAGCTCCGCCCATAATGTGCGGGGCTACGATATATTCACGTAAGTCCAACACGCATAAGGCCTTACTTACTCCTTTTGTTTCTTTCTGGCCTCATGCCCTCGATGATTCGAGTTATAAACCTATTTAAGACGGCGCTTTTCGATAACGCTCCGCCCACTACCTATATCCCTACAGTTACTTGTAGACCCACCCCACTTTTGCCCATTTTTTGTCGGCGTCCTGGGTGTTATGAAATCAATTCATACTTCTTGCCCAAGACACCGCCCACTCCTGTGCATATTCCTACCCTGCAGGCTTCGCCGAGCTAACGTGCACTCTGTTGTTTTTCCCTATGTGCCACCCATCCCGAACTTGACCCGACTTTTATAGGTGCTTCCTCAGGTAATATCGAATTTTCGCGGAAACAAACGAACAAACAATTAAATAAACAAACAGACGCTAGCGCGTTATCCTTACTATGTATATGTATATATATATTATAAATATACAGGGTGACCCACATGAAGTGAGACGGGCAATAAAAAATCGATTTCTGGGCTTCTCATTTTCTTCTTTCGCTATATTATGGGATTATTTGATTTTCCCGCATTTCTTGAACCTAATGTGGGCAGTCTTCTTTGTTATTCATTTGTAAAAATGGTTTCACTTGACGATCGTTCAGCAGTAGTCGCGATGTACAAACGCGGATCGTCAGTATCCGAGATTTCCAAGATGCTCAAACTCCATCGAGAGCAAGTACATCGTGTCATTAAGCGATTTGAGGAGACTGGAAAGATTGAAAATTGTCTAAGAGGAAGACCATAAAGAACTGCAAGGACCTCTGCCCTTGGGAAGGCCGTCAAAGACAAGCTGCGCCGAGATCCTGAAAGAAGCATGAGAAAACTGGCCAAGGAACACAATGTGAGCAACTCAACCGTGCAAAGATTGGTCAAGGCGGGCATCGGGTTATATCCTTACAAAATTGCGAAGGGACAACGCCTCACCGAAGAAATGAAGGCTTCGAGACTGGAAAAATGCAAGAAGATGAAAACCCTTGCGCGCATTGAGAACTTTGGACGAATCCTCTTCACAGAGGAGAAAATATTCACCGTTGAACCGTTCCGGAACCCGCAGAATTAAAGGATATTGCTCCCAAAGGGATCGCCAAGAGAAGTCATGGTCGAAAAATCCCATTTTCCACAGTCGGTGATGGTGTGGGCTGGAATATCGGGCCTAGGCAAGACTAAGCTGGTTTTTGTGGAGAAAGGAGTGAGAATTAATGCTGAAATATATCGAAAGCAGATTCTGGAGGACGCGGTGATCCCTTAGGCCGAGAACAATGCGAAAAACGTTAACTGGACCTTTCAGCAGGATTGGGCACCGGCCCACAGCGCGAAGAAAACACTGCAGTGGTGTGAGGCCATGCTTCCGGATTTTTGGCCGAAGGAGGTTTGGCCTTCAAACTTCCCCGACCTCAATCCTATGGATTTTGCTGTTGATTCTGGAGCAGAAAGCTTGCGCTATCAAACATCGGTCTTTGGAATCTCTGAGAAAAGCTCTTTTGGAAGCGTGGGATGAAATTTCGCCGGAAATGATTGCGCGCATTCCTAGAAACTTCCGAAAGAGGTTGGACGCTTGCATCAAAGCGAATGGAGGACATTTTGAATTCGTGATGTGATATTATGTTTACAATTTTTGTGAGGTTTGTATAGGAGTAAATTTTTCTTATTTGGTTTGATTTGAACAATTTTGTTGTTAGTTTTCTGTGTCACACTTCATGTGGGTCACCCTGTATGATATTGTATAATATTGTATAACGCGCGCGTTAATACAAAATGATAGAAAGCTTTTCTCACGACATATTGCTTGCAGGAGGAAGTAGCTCCACTAGCGCAAGAACTAACTGCGAAGCCTCCTGAACCAGTATGGCTTCTGCCCTTTTACAGTGTGGCGGCTCTTTATGCTGAGCGGGAATCTGCTCCAGAACCTGTGAGATCAAATCTTGTTTACTCTTTAATACTTTCTTTTCAATTCATTTCCTTGACAACGATACAATTTCTCATACGTATCTATTACAGGCAGAAATCACCACTGCTTTAAAGGAACCAGGTGCCAAACCTGTAAGATAACAATTTCGCTTACACTTCTTCAGTTATTAGTGAATCGCCCCCCTTTGGTTCTACCATTTCTCACTAAGCTCAGGAAATATCGACGGGAACCTGAAAATTTCACCGTTTCAATGTTTCCCTCAGAAACAGGGATACACGTGTAGGGTAAACCTAGAGAGATCCCAGGCACGATCTGTTCTGTTATATAATCGTGAGCAGAAAATCGAATAACTGTTGTCTTCTGCGATGTTCAACTTATACAGCATACATGCATTTGCTAATTCAAACGGAGTTTTTTAAACTCCATTTCGAAAAATTAGCTAGTTTTCTTTTAAATGTTCCGAACGAAAGAATGTACGAATGATCGACTGCTCTCAATATTCCTTACGTTTCAGTCAACAACTCTAGGAAAGTCAGTGGTGAAGAAAGAAATCGTGGAAGAACGCGTGACCCGAAAGTACATCGAAGTAGGTCGTTCAATGACGCTGTTAAGAAATGTGTGAGAGCAGTCGTACAGACGGAACCACTTAACCTGACTTCATGGCTGACATCTCTAAGATTGTCCCGTTTGCAGGACGAAGGCACCAAACCTTCGCAGGAGCCAACTCCCAAGCGTGTAAGATAATATTTTCGTCTTTTCGAATTCCCCTCTAATCCTTTTACTGACTATGGCTTCCTTTTCTATTTCAACTCTTCTGTACACTAGCAAGGGAAGAATCCTAGGTCCCAGTGACCATACAGGATGAGATTTATCCCGTCACAGGCGTTTTCGAACGCTGATTTCAAATTTGCGTCCCAGATCTGCGAAACGATCCTGGGTACAAAGTTACGAACCGTTTCTACCCAATGCTATACCACGATATTCTGTCGAACAGATAAACGAACCGAGCGGGCAACTGGCGTACAACGGTGGCGCAGTTGGTAGCGCGTTGGAATCGTAGGCAAGACATAAAGGTTCAGACACTTGGCAGTCAAAATATGGCGCTGAAGTTCAACAATAAAGACTTCAGAGAGGGCAACTTCCAAGTACGGGTTCCGAGTCAAGTGGTGATATCGTGTCCCTCCGCATCAACATTCTATCCCTAAAGGCACAGCTCACGACAGAAATGGTTTCTGAGATTTCCCTGTAGTACGATTTCGAGGCTCCCCCTTATATCATACCTGCCGTTGTAAGGTCGAAAATCGTCATGGATGCACAGTAAGAGCTCAGAGACGGTACCTTGTGAATGTCACACCCATCGTGGACGAGTTTCAACGGCTTGCTAGAGGTTGCACTATATCAAGAGACGCCCATGTAGGAAGTCCAAACAACTTGCCATAACCCATGGCGACAGTGAAAGCCAGTTTCAGACAACTTTGGCTTAATGTAGCCATCTCTTTCAGCGATGGGAGTGAATTAAATTTCGTCCAAAGACCTCTTACATGCAATCACCATCACGGTGATCTCGTACAACCTCCACTTCCACTACTTTTAAAAAACTTGAAGTGGACGGATTTTCTCGGATTTCTTTTGGACAGCTCTCTAATCAGCATACGTCTGAACAAGTCAACCATATATTCTTCCATCTGTTTTTTCATGCCAGTTTTATCGCAATAGCATATTCCGGCATTGGAAGTGAAGACAGATTGACCAGAAGAGAACACAGGCGGACTCGGTCGGAAAGACTCGAAACCCTTAAAAAATCGTATGATCGCCTCCAGTGTATTGGGTAGAAGAGAACCTTTACCCGGTCAATGATTACGAGGGAATTTTCTCTTGGACGACTTTTTCTGAGTTCCTCAGCTGTGAGGAAGGGCTGAGCTGGTCAATACGAAACAAGGAGAAGTATCACAAGCATAGAAGACCTCTCATGGAAAGCGAAATGTATCAAGGATATGAAATTTTATGTCAAGCCTATAAGCCAACAACCCCTCCAGTTGCACCATCGTTATCCCGCGTTTTACGTTCCGATTGGTTTATGTTCGACACTGCAGCGGAAAACAAAGAAATGGTTCCGTAACTAAAAAGTCAGATTCGAAACAAGGTTCCAAAAAATCCGCAGTATACAGCGTAGATCTCATCTTGAACGGCCACTGAACCAAACATCCTCTACTTGTGAGTCCTCAGGAGTCGCGCAAGAGTCAACTACGAAAACTCCGAGACAACCATTTAAATTTTCACACGTCCTATTTGAATCCCTTAAAGGTGAAGCCCCTCTTTCCCATTTATCTTTTACAGGCTGAGATCGTAGCAACTTTGCATGATCCGACCCCCAAACGTTGAACCATGACCTTGCTCCGATTTTTCTATGTTCATTTTGAGCACTTCCTTTCATTACTCTCATTTGCAGGAAGAAGGTATCAAAAAATCTCAGGAACCATCACCGAAGCCTGTGAGATCAATTTTCACACTTCGCACATTTGAATGTTCTCTGTTACGTCCATTACCCGCTGTAGACGGTTGACAGCCTGAGATATCCGAAAGGTTTATTGGTCAAACCGACTGAGACAAAGTGATGAGAGAGAAAAGTAGTCACTGATAAATTACCGGGTCTACTGTGTTTACACCTAGTAGGTCATATCAGCGTTCAGTGATCACAGTAGTCTGTAGCTACGTAACAACTCCCTTCTTAGGAACCTAACACCTCCTTTCTTGGGAGAAATTACATACATACTGATCTTTGACAATTGACGATAAATTTTCTAACGCGGACCCACCTCGAGGCGAGTTGTTGTGAGCGTCGATCGTCAAGGCTTGTAAAAGTCATGACTTTTGTCCGTTTATGGTACTTGCTCGGTGTGCTGTGTTGGTTCTGGTGAAAAGCTAGTTGATTGGAATTGAAGGTGTCGATTGCAGTAGCAGGACGAACATTTCGAAAGGCGTAGCTACAGTAGTGCTCAAAAGTCTTCGGCGAAACGCTCTTATGCTTTCTCGTTCATAAGTTTTCTCCTAATATGGCAAATCGCGCGAAATTTTGATATGTTCAACCAAAGCATATTTCACACTGACCAACACTACTTGACTGCGAGTAGCCCATATAACTAGGAAGGTGTTTGTTGAAGTAGTAGACTTTGCTGAAAGCAAAGTTAGTGGAGTCTGCAGTTGTTCGCACCTTATTTGCGCTTTTCTCATCTATTGTGTTCGGCATTAGCGCTCGTACTCTGCGCTACGCTCGACATTGCAAAAAGGAAAGAATTTCAAGAAGGACCATCATCTCCTTTTTATTTCCTGTTGATTCTGAGTTCGGGCTCTTCGGAATATCTGGAACATGGTCAGATTACAGGTAGTTAGTGATAAATATTCGCACTACACCCATGCTACACATAATGAAATTTCGCATGATTACATCCAGTAGGAAAGGAGTTACGACTCAAAAGTACAACTGAAAAAGCATTCGGCCGAAGACTTTTGAGCGCTTCCGTGTATCCTGGCGTTGCGTTAGAGCATCGTTGTAGTAGCAGTCGGAATTGATTGGCACGTTGAACACAGACTTTGTTGCCAGAGGACTCTGCAGAGTACTTTTTCAACTCGTTTGAGTACTTTTCCACTCCATTCTTCTCGATTCCCCTAGTAGTGAAGTGCCAGAATTGGGTCTCTATGGCTGAAAACACGTTTTCGAGCGCCATTGTGATTCCATTGAATGATCGCGCTTTGAGGTCTGCTGTGGGGTTGGCTTGAACAGAGCAAGATTAGACTGGGGTTTTTCCTAATAAAAAGTTCTGCCGAAGATTTGTTTCCATCTGACAGACTTGGGTTTGAGCTACTTCAAAAGAAAGGTATGCAAACTTTCTGACAATGTTCCTTCTTTAAATTCTAGTGGAGCTTTCTTAAACGTGGCACGAATCTTTTTGGATGTCCATCAGATTGTAAATGATATTTCTGGGAGCAGACATGTTGGGTTCCGTGATTTGTGCAAAATCTTTTGAATCCATCCAAAGTGAGTTGTGTCCCGTTGTCGGAAACAAATGTCTCTGGGAGCCCATGTATTGCGGATATGTTCTGCAAAAGCACGACTGTGGCGTCGTTGTGATGCTACTAGTGTTGAATATCTCCAGCCATTTTGAAAATGAGGCCAAGCCTGGAGACGTGATCGTAAGCCTAGCGACTGTAAAGCATATAATGCAGTGCTGCACAGCATTTTCAAAATCCTGGCCAATTCCTGGAGCGCAGGCATAACTGCGGGCTGAGGCCTTTATGCGTAAGATTCCAGAATGTACACGGAACATGTTGGATCTGAATCGATTTGTCTAGTAAATTCAGGCGAACGAAGGCATCGTCGCTGGATTGTAGACGGCTTACGAAGATTAGACACTTAAATTTATTTTCGTCGCACACTGCTAGCCTGGACTTGGCACATTCACGATTGACACGTTCTGCATAGGTGAAAAAGTCGCTGCGGTGTTTCAGGTAAAACATAAATGGAGTACCTACCATTAGCTTTTGCTTCCAGCTTGTTAAGAGGAGGTTAAACTCGAGTTGGCTCGTCGAGCATCTGAGCGCCCATGGTAAACAATCTTGATGTCGTTGATGCCACGCTTCGAAGGTTGAATATCCGCGATTCGTCCTGCCTACACATCGAAACTTCTGTCTGGTTCCATTGCTTCGTGAAGTCGATTTCGTCATTTGTTGTCCTTTGAGAGCGTTCGTGAGTGCCATCAGTTGGAACTGTTGGTCCGAAATTGTTGCCATAACCCTGATCGCCACTGTTACGTCTGTGAGCCGCTGGCAGATGGTTGATAGCCAGAGATATCAGGATGCCAGAGGTATCAGGAAGCTTAAAGGTCGAACCGTTTGAGGCGAAGTGATGAGAGAGAAAAGTTGATTAATTACTGGGTTTATATACTGCGTTTACACCTAGTAAATCATCTCAGCGTTCAGTGATCTCAGTAATCTTTAAAAACCTAACACTCTCCAAGAATCTTTGTGTAGACGATGTTTGATCTTGGTGGGCTTCCAAACGCGCAGCTATCCTCCGTTCTTGTTGTTCTATGCTGAACATTATGGGGGAAAACTCATGAAATAGTTAAATCACATATCCGATAACCACCAGTTAATTGCAAGCTTGCTAATATGGATATGCATACAATATCCATTCCTTCTGAACCCTCTTGAGTGGGTGCAGAGTTTTATAGACTGTCCTTGATACGTCGTTAATTCAGGAACGGAGAGAAAAAAAATTATCTGTTAAGAGGGAAATCGTAGAAGAACAAGAAAAACGAAAGGTCTTTGAGGCAAGTTAAACGTGTTCAAATCACAAACCTTCTTTATGAAGATATAGCATCAGGTATACAGGGGCCCTCATCAAAACGTGTAATACCAAAATTTGTCAGCCCTAAAATTACCCCATAATTTTTTCATTATTACTGCTTATTTTCTCACGACATCCTGTTTGCAGGAACAGGCAGCCCCAGTAGCGCGAGAACCAACTATGTCGCCTCTCGAACCAGTACGGCTTTTGCCGTTCTACAGCGTAGCGCCTTTCGATGTTGAGAGGGAAATTGTGTCGAAGCCTGTGAGACCATCTTTCACACTGACATTTGATAACCATACCAAGTAACCTCCATGTTTGCCTTCCTTGAAACCTAAGCAATTTGTACTTTTATTGTCAGTGCTTCTGTGCCATGTTTATTGATTGTGGAACACTTCTCGCCTGATGTTTTGACCAACTCGTCGT